TCGGGGGAGCGGCCCTTCGACGCTCTGCGTCCACGGGCGTCGCCACCGGCGCCCGGCGTCGCGTGCCCGACGGCGCGCGACTGCGTCTTTCGACGCTCGAGCGGCGACGGCGCGCGCGGGCCCTGCCCGCCCGCCGACCGCCGCCCTCCGCTCCCTTCCGGGGGAGCGGCCCTTCGACGCTCTGCGTCACACGGGCGTCGCCACCGGCGCCCGGCGTCGCGTGCCCGACGGCGCGCGACTGCGTCTTTCAACGCTCGAGCGGCGACGGCGCGCGCGGGCCCTGCCCGCCCGCCGACCGCCGCCCTCCGCTCCCTTCCGGGGGAGCGGCCCTTCGACGCCTCCGGCGTCGCGCGGGCGCCGCCACCGGCGCCCGGCGTCGCGTGCCCGACGGCGCGCGACTGCGTCTTTCGACGCTCGAGCGGCGACGGCGCGCGCGGGCCCTGCCCGCCCGCCGACCGCCGCCCTCCGCTCCCTTCCGGGGGAGCGGCCCTTCGACGCTCTGCGTCACACGGGCGTCGCCACCGGCGCCCGGCGTCGCGTGCCCGACGGCGCGCGACTGCGTCTTTCGACGCTCGAGCGGCGACGGCGCGCGCGGGCCCTGCCCGCCCGCCGACCGCCGCCCTCCGCTCCCTGCCGGGGGAGCGGCCCTTCGACGCCTCCGGCGTCGCGCGGGCGCCGCCACCGGCGCCCGGCGTCGCGTGCCCGACGGCGCGCGACTGCGTCTTTCGACGCTCGAGCGGCGACGGCGCGCGCGGGCCCTGCCCGCCCGCCGACCGCCGCCCTCCGCTCCCTTCCGGGGGAGCGGCCCTTCGACGCTCCGGCGTCGCGCGGGCGCCGCCACCGGCGCCCGGCGTCGCGTGCCCGACGGCGCGCGACTGCGTCTTTCGACGCTCGAGCGGCGACGGCGCGCGCGGGCCCTGCCCGCCCGCCGACCGCCGCCCTCCGCTCCCTTCCGGGGGAGCGGCCCTTCGACGCCTCCGGCGTCGCGCGGGCGCCGCCACCGGCGCCCGGCGTCGCGTGCCCGACGGCGCGCGACTGCGTCTTTCGACGCTCGAGCGGCGACGGCGCGCGCGGGCCCTGCCCGCCCGCCGACCGCCGCCCTCCGCTCCCTTCCGGGGGAGCGGCCCTTCGACGCCTCCGGCGTCGCGCGGGCGCCGCCACCGGCGCCCGGCGTCGCGTGCCCGACGGCGCGCGACTGCGTCTTTCGACGCTCGAGCGGCGACGGCGCGCGCGGGCCCTGCCCGCCCGCCGACCGCCGCCCTCCGCTCCCTTCCGGGGGAGCGGCCCTTCGACGCTCTGCGTCACACGGGCGTCGCCACCGGCGCCCGGCGTCGCGTGCCCGACGGCGCGCGACTGCGTCTTTCGACGCTCGAGCGGCGACGGCGCGCGCGGGCCCTGCCCGCCCGCCGACCGCCGCCCTCCGCTCCCTTCCGGGGGAGCGGCCCTTCGACGCTCTGCGTCACACGGGCGTCGCCACCGGCGCCCGGCGTCGCGTGCCCGACGGCGCGCGACTGCGTCTTTCGACGCTCGAGCGGCGACGGCGCGCGCGGGCCCTGCCCGCCCGCCGACCGCCGCCCTCCGCTCCCTTCCGGGGGAGCGGCCCTTCGACGCCTCCGGCGTCGCGCGGGCGCCGCCACCGGCGCCCGGCGTCGCGTGCCCGACGGCGCGCGACTGCGTCTTTCGACGCTCGAGCGGCGACGGCGCGCGCGGGCCCTGCCCGCCCGCCGACCGCCGCCCTCCGCTCCCTTCCGGGGGAGCGGCCCTTCGACGCTCTGCGTCACACGGGCGTCGCCACCGGCGCCCGGCGTCGCGTGCCCGACGGCGCGCGACTGCGTCTTTCGACGCTCGAGCGGCGACCGCGCGCGCGGGCCCTGCCCGCCCGCCGACCGCCGCCCTCCGCTCCC